CACACATAACCAGCTTCTGCATCACAACTTTGAACTCCTGGTCCGTTTTCTGCTATCAGTACTACTGTTTAGACTCTAGAGGTGAGCCAGGCCATTAGTCCGCACTCCTTCCGCCCCTGGACACACATCTGTCTCTAGGCGGGGCTGATGCATTGCCTTTGACTTGACTGCTTTCTACTCTTAGTGCCCCTGCAAAATGTGCTCAAAGTGAGTTAAGCCACGAGTGTTGAAGGAACAAACATACGTTTAGGAAGAAGGGAGACATATACAGAATGCAAGAGACGCTTCCTTTTCAACTCCTGAACCTCTCAAAGAAGTTGGGGGACTAGATAGCCTAGTGACACTTGCGTGGGACCTTAACCTATCTAGGGTTCAATGTTCTCATCGGTATGCGGAGGGCAACACGTAACTCACAAGGTTTTCTGAAAGGGTTAAAGAAGCGAACTTATGTAAAACTGTAAGATCAAATCTTGGGACAGAGCATTGCAATGAACGCGAGCCCGCACACGCAGCCTGGCCAACACGTACAAGAAATTAACCGGGAAGGCCTAATCGCAGAGTTTGGTGAATTTGGGAGTTTTGTTTTTGTTTTCTGAAACGACCAGACAGTACATCGTCAACGGTTCGCCAACTACTTTTCCTGGAACGCCAAGACGTTGTTCTGGCTTGGCTTTGCATTTTGAAACGTAAAAATGACTTTTGGTTCGTGGGCCCAGCCCAAAGCAGGAGGAGTTCCGGGGCCCTGCGTGCCACAGACCCGTGTTTTGAAAAGGCCACGGAAAGGGGTGTCACCGACGGAGGAACCGAGCGGTCCCCGCACTTCCGGGGGGACAGGCCTGAGAGGGTGGGCCCCGCGAGGCCGCCAGCGGCTCCGCCCGTCAGACCGGCCTCCTCTCCACTTACGCCCAGCAGCGGCCCGCGACCGATCACCGTCTCCCCGGGCGGCAGGGCCACCCGAGGGCCGCCGTCTAGCGGCTGTAGCTCGAAGCCCCCCGACATGGCGGGCGAGTCAGGGCCCTCCGCGAAGAGACGCTGCCGGCGGCCGTTTCCGCCTTTCGCGGGCGCGCGCGGGGCCTCCTCGGGGCCCCGGTAAGCAGAGCCAAGTGGCCGCAAACCGGGGCACGGTGTTCGCGGGGCGGGGCCTCCGCAGCCCGGCCTCTCGGCCGGAACCCCCTTCTCACGACGCCTCAAAGAAGTGGTTCAAAAGCCCCGGTAGAGCCTCCCTCTAGTTCTTCTCGCCGCCCATCCAGTCAGGTGGACGCCGGACTTTGTAGTCCCTGGCGCTGTCCTTATCCCTCCTTTCCCACGGCGAACAGCCAGCCAATAAACTACCCATCCCAGAAGGCTGTGCGCGTCCGCCTCTGCGCCTGCGCCGAACCCGAAGCAACGGGCGGGGCCTAGAGTAAACGGGGGTATTAGGGACTGTGGAGAAAGTACTAGAATTCTGAGGGTTTGTAATCGCTGGAGGGAAGATCGCCGGTGCCTGATCTCTCCGGGGCCAGACCGTCCGGAGTCCAGATTGCAGCGCTAAGGCTAGCGCAGCTTTGCTCAGCTTCTGGGAGCCTCGGTGACAGGTGACATTGCTGGTGCTGGAGGGGGTTGTTCACTTGTCAGTTCTGAAATGCACATTTCAGATTATCTTGGGACACCTGCGGATGGATCGGGGCAGGCCAGGGGCTTGGTGGCTCAGATGGAATTTGGGGTCATCCCCGCGCCACCTG